GGGTGTGGATGGTTTTGGGTTGAGCCACCACTCGAGGCGGCGAACGCTACTCGACGAATTCGCGGAACTCTTGCGGGGTTAGGCAATTAATTATTAAATTTATTTGCTAATTAGGTAATTACCAAGCGCACTCGAGTGTGCCGCCTGAAGTTCGAGAACTCCTCCCACTTCTTCCGTTTAAACCCCTTACCTACCCCCTTCCTACTCCTACCCACACCCATCTCCCCAATCTTCACCCCGTCCACACATGGGTGGGCCAATGGTCTCGGGCTAAACTATGCGACCAAATATCTTCACCTAACTTAAATCATCCAACTAGACTAGTTCAATATGGTCTCCGAAATGTACATATCGAATTAAATGATTATTTTTCATTTAATACCTTTTTTTTTTGTATATATGCATTTTATCTTTAGATGTGCAATAGGAGGGCACTAGATACGTTAGATCTCGTTTCTTCGTTGCAGTTCTAGTAACTTTGAACACTAATTAAATTGAATTCATCATCATTCATCGAGGATGAATTAATTAATGGGAATATTATGTATAATGATTGGAGCCAAAGTGTGGCTCGTATGAATCAATTAAAATCGATTGCTTTTTGAATGAGTTCGCAAAGGTAACTAACTAAGAAAACATATTCTATTACTTGAAATGAAGTGACGAGGAATGGGATGGACTGATTTCTCATTGATCGTGACCGTGCTCAGTTTCTTATGCATCATTTTGAAATATGGATATTATCATTCAATGTTCTTGTCTTTGTCGGTTGTTATTTGATAATTTTTCTTTTTTTTTATATACAGTATGTTGTGTTTGTTGAATGAAACGTGTAATGTTATTTTTTTTTTTTTATAAATACGTATGCGTCTTTTCTTTTCTTTTCTTTTTTTTCTGTTCGTTTTATTTGAATATAATCCATATAATTATTTAAAGGAAAAGATTGTGAAATTCTTATTGACAACGTGTAATCAAGATGAAGTAATTTTGTTAATGAAAAGACGAGTAGAATTGCGTGAAGGTTTTTATCGTAATTGTATTGGAATCGTTTAAATCAATATAAATACGATTAGTATAAAAGAGAGAATAAATTCATTTAATTTCTTATTTCCTTCCTCTCTCTTTCTCTTTCTCTTTCTCATTTCTTGATTCCTGATTTGTTTTATTTTTCATTTAAATGTATCTACTTCGTGAAAAGATACGAGGCGAGGTTAAAGCAACGCGCGTTTATTTATTCTCGTTTTATTTACAGAGTTAAGTAATTAATATTATATTGTTAAACAAATATTATCATTATTTTGAAATTGTTTCTAATGAATGAATTATTGGTTAACATTTTTAACTATTTTGCATTAACAAGTGTATTATAATTTAATATTTAAACAAGTTTGTCTAACAGTAGTTAGTTTTACTCGATAAACATAATAAGATATCGTACGAAAATAAATTGATATAAATGTGATATTATATTCAATTCTGTTCTTTAGTTTAGTTTCCTTTCATTTTGAACTTATTTGATTTCGTTTGGACATAAATAGAAGAAGAAGAAAGAAGAAGAAGAAAGAAGAAGAAGAAGACACCACTCGTGTCTCCATGAAATAAAAGCAATGTTTCTTCGTTAGCGTCAGGGTTGCATCGCGTTAAGTAATTAGCGTGTTCCTCTTTGAAAAGCAACTGCTTGCATTTTACCGGTTGCTATTTAAACAAGAATTTCGTTTCTCTCTCTTTCTTTGCAAAAGTAAAAGAAAGAAAGTGCAAGAAGAAGAAGAAGAAGAAGAAGAGGTTAGAAAAGGAAGAAGAAGATGAATTAGTTTTCTTATTTCTTACTTACTTTTTCTGTCGACTACTCCTAATTAAAGAAAAAAGCAAATAATCATAGTTGTATCTCTTTGAAAAATTGTGCATTTCGCGAGAACATATTGATCTAGAAGGTTTCACGTAAATCGGATTGATTATATTATCAAAAATATCTAACAATCGTAAGGTTGTTTTATATCGTGGCAATTTTAGTTCTACTTAAGGAATTCGATTGAAATTTCGGAACACGAAACTAAGCCGTCGAACTACAACGTTGAACGTTCTTTGATCAAATTTCCCAAACGTTTTCAACGTGATGAAAGGATTGCTTGAACGCATTGATTGCTCGTTTAGACCTAACTTTACTTTCGATACCACCCACCCCATTGTCTGTTCTATTCTTTCTAGTTCAATTTCATTTTTTTGGTCCGTTTAAAAGAAAACGTTAGGTTTAATGGTTAAGTATGATACCAACCGCATTTCGTATGTACCAAGTAATAGAACTTTTTCTTCAGACTGGAACGTTCGTTACGTTCGTTAGACTATCTCTAGAAAAAGAGTTTGTGGAAAGTCACGTAGGTCCTTTCTACTCGTTGAATAATGAAATCTGCGAGAAAATGGAGAAAATTGCGTGGTTTCTTTTGGGACCTACGCTATGGTTTCTTTTTTCGGGGACCATCTTAACGAGATAGACAGGAAAACGAAAAAAGAAAGAAATATAAAAAGGGGAAAGAAAGGTAAAGCTTTGGGGTTATCAAAAGCTGTACTTAGGATTTTCTGCTAGTTCGATCAAAGAGTGCATTGAATGAACGAAAGAAAAAAAAAAGAAAACCCTTTTTCTATTTATAGTCTTGTCCTTTTCTTCCTTTTCTTTTGCGAAAGCAAACGTGCGGTATATAAGTTATATATATATATATATATATATATATATATTATTTATTTTAATGAATATCTTTTGGAAATTTTCGTTTTTATTAAAACATTCAACGTATATATATATACTTCAATTAATTATTAATTATGTCAATGTGTGTTATATTAAGATATGTATATAATATTTGGCAAGAATTTATCGTCGAAGGTAAGCCTTACACGTATTTAATTATGTGCACGTGCATGTAGGACGTACATACATATATATATATATATACATATATATACATACCTATAGCATATACGAGAATCTACTCCGCTCTTTCGTAAACACGTTGTTCCCATTTAGCAAAGCAGAGGTGCTCAATTAAAATCAATTATGAATTTAGAAAATAGAGAAGGCTCATCTATCATTATTTGTCTTTATCTTTTTTTAATTATTATTCTTACTTGCTTATGGGGTTGTATGAAAAAAATAAATAAGATAAAAAGTAAAAAGAAGAAGAAGAAGGATAAGAAGAAGAAAAATAAGGAAGCAAACGAACGACGTTGTTCGTAACTTCCGATGAAGTTCGTGGATTTTCCATCGTTCGATCTACCCATTCCCCTATCTATCTCTTTCACTCTATTTTAACGGCAAAGGTATACTCGTTTCACTCGAAAAACTGCATCGCTCGTTACGTTTACCGATCTATGTATATATACATATATGTATGTATATATCTGCGTACGTAGAGGTAGTATATAGATGTATGTAACGTTGATCGTTCGCTTGCAGTCTACAGTCGCATCCCAGTTAGTTCCCTTTCGGGACAACTGATGCATTTCCAATACCGCTTGCATAACAGTGCTTCTCAATACCAACGTTGTGCGATCGTTAAGCTTCCCACCGGTTCGCGAGTTACGATAACGACACCGACGTTATTTTTTAACGTTTTTACGTTTTGTTACATATAGGAAATAGTGCAAGATGTTTTTTTTTTTTTTTTTTTTCAATTTGTTCCCGGAACAAAAGTACAACGCGTGATTAAGATATTCTTATTAAAATATAAAACGTAAATGATTATTATTTCGTAATTTGTACACACAGGGAGGGGGTGGGTAAAAACAAGAAGTGTTTGTTGAAATTACAAAAAAATGAATTAGATATGGTCCGACGCTTGTTATCTTTTATGCATTTTCTACGTGCTTTTACAAAAAGAAAGAAAAAGAAAAAAAACAATCATAGTCGCTCATATATGAAATAAATATAATGTCCTATGCAGGATTACAAAGTCCATGTACGTATGCCATAAACGAAAAATGTAGATTTTTCAAAATTAAATTGTTAATTATATAATATTTTATATTCGTGACATTATACTTCCTGTACTTCTGTATTCTTCATATGAAATTAACATAAATTGCTTAAAAAATAATATCTTTCATTTCTTTAACTATGAGAAGATAAAATTTGAAATCTATATGAATCTAATATTAAATTAAAAATAATAATAATTACGATTATTATTGCCAGTTATAATTGTTACATTTCGACAATTATACTTAATATCGTTGTCAGTTACTGTGCAATTACTAAATACAAATTGTTAATTATCATTCATATTAATATTCGAATTTCGGGCAGATGTATATTTTGGAAAATCAATTCTAAATGATTTTGCATTATCATCGATATCAATTAGAATTGAATGAAACTTTAACGAATTCACCATTGTCCATGATAGGCAGCAATGAGACACCATCACTAAGTTTTCATATGATACTTTTTTTCTAATTATGTTGCAAAACATAGATCTATGCTACCGTTAAATAAACGTTGACGATATATATATATATATATATAAATGTAATGTTAATTAAATAATGTGTTAATTGACAAATTTAGGATATATCGTTGTAAGAAGATAAATGAAATAGAAAAGATAAAATATTAGAATAATATACTTGATCTTACATAATATAATATTTATTTGGATTACCTTGTAAGTACCGAGGTTTTTAACGACGCAAGGTAGACTGACGTCCCTTCCAAGTGCAACGGTGACGTTGGGTATTGGTTCGGCAAATATCGGTGGCTCTGAGAGTGCTGCGCAAAGGAAAATAAAAGAGAATCGATTAGTATAGAACGTCGTCGTGTTTCGAGGATACGAATAAAAAAGAATTATCTTTTTATTTTTTTTTTTATTCTACTACGATCATTCGCGCGCAATATTCCTATGGGGGGTTTTTTCTTTCGATCTCGTTTAAAACGTCGATATTTTTCTTCTTTATTTTCTTCAAATAAAATCTTCTTCCTCTACGTATTTACTTTCAATGTGTTTAATAATTGTACATTTTTCAATGTACACGACAATTTTTATTGCTTCTCCTATAATATTAAATAAAATATAATATGAATTGATTTCTATTTTTTTCTTCTCCCCTTTTTTTTCCCCCGATATAATATATAAAATACAATGTGCGATATTATAAGAAAAAATTAAAAAAAAATATATCTGACGTGTAAAAAGAAAAAAAGAAAAAAAACCAAGTCTATGTAATTCTCGCGTAAATATACCCATCGAGTCATTTTCTCATGAAATTCATTTAAATTCAAGCTGGCGTATTTCCAGTTGCGTTACTCGAAATTTATAGACGCAGCGATAATTGAAGTGAATCGATGTGAAATCGTCCCATGCAGTCGAAAGAGTAGTAACGACTAGGAGGTGGGGTTGGATTGGGGGGGGTGGTAGAATACGATGGGTGAAACAGTGGGAGTGGGGAAAGGTTTGAAGAAGGTGGATAGGGAGGAAGGGATGGATGGAAAAGGGAACAAGGAGAAGAGGCCATAATCGAAAAGACGACATCGTCCTTTGCACAAAAGGATCGAGATGGGCTTTCGAGCACGCTAGAACGGAAGATGGAAACGTCCCGTAAGGCGGAACAATTGCTTCGAGCTACCTTAAAGGCTAATCAAAGGGGTTGAGGGTTAAAGCAAGCAAGCAAGCATCTTCTTGATCGAACGTTAGAACCTCGACGTTGACATTAACTTTTTTTGGGGGGAAGGGGAGAGAGGATTTTTCAACTTTTTCTAGGTCTTTGTTTTGGTCTTAATAAGATAAATAAGTTCAATAATTTTTTAATACATTTTCTTATAATGACATTATTTGTTAATATTCGACAAATGATTCGTACATTTTATATAAATCTCTCTTTAAAGATAGAATAAATTATTTATTCTAAATTATTTTTAATATGGGGTGAATATTAAAATGTAGCATCAAGTGGAAGAAACTTTTTGTTTGTTCTATAAATATCTACGCGGAAAATATAGACGAGTTCGTTTCTTGTAAGAATGGTATCGATGGAAAATGATTGTGGTATAGAGAGAACGGACTACTCATTTCAAAATTCCAAACATACTAAAGATTCACTCGCATAGTTTCTCACACGAGACTAGAGACGATCATCTTGGCTATTGTCTTAAACGACTCCTTTTGCTGGCCATCGAGTATCCTTCAGATGTCTGAAGTCGGGCCCGATCATTTGCATGGAGCAATTTGAAGCAACCCTTCCGTTGCTTCGTTGCTTTCATTATCGAAATTTCAAACCAAGCTTTATCGATCCAACCCAAAGCTTACAATTTGTCTACAAGTATGTTTGAATAGTATACACGTATAGTTCATTTTCTCTTTCATATTACCGAACGTACGATTAATCATGAATATTAATATTTTTTGATATATTATTTACAAATTATTATTTAATATGTGATATTATACTAATATTATATAAGTATTAAATAGATTCGATTTCAAATTTATCATATATTAGAAATTTAACAAAAATATATTATTTTTGCTTATAATAAAAATTAATTTTATTAATTTAATATTTAACTATTGTTATAATAAACTTTGATTATATATAGTTTAATTGATTAATAAGAACTTATATATACTAACTAGTTACTAACATAAGTTTTCATTAGTTAATACGCGATAGAACGGATTTCGGATATTTCTAGTTACGTATAACTACTTACTATGTGAAGTATGCATGAACGTTAGTAATTTTGTTAGGATTATTTCTCTAATGTTGTTAGTTAAATTCCTAAATGAAAAGATAATTTATTTATTGAAACTTTTAATTAAAATTCGCCTTCATTACATGATTATTAATAATTATCCAAACTGATATGTAGAATATATTCATAAATGTGCATACATTTAAAAGTAAGCGCGATCACGTGGTGCGATAACGTGGTGCAATCACGTGGTACAGTTGTCACATCGGCGCAAGACGTCATCCGTAAAAGTAAGGTTATGTATTGATTAGTTGTGGTGTTTCATCTTTCTCATGTTTTAAAATGAATAATATGTTTAATACGTGAAAGGAAAAGCTTAGTAATTGTTTGTTAAATAAAACAAATGTAAAACTCTTGAAGTACACTATTTTTATTAGAGAATAATATGGAAAACTGTTGAAAAGGAATTAAAGAATAAAAGTTAATTCCAACCAAAATTTTATTGCATTATAGACGTATAAGTCATTTTGATGTATTGGGAATAGGAAGTGTTTAGCGAATAATCAGAAAATCTAATAATCAAATATAATATTACTTGGATGTAAAAGAAATATTTGATGTCATTGAAGGAGCTTGCAAAGCGATTGGACATGAAGGTTATAATTGACTACGATTAGAAACAGGTAGAAAATGTGCTAATATTATTCTAGATAAATTATTTTATTTGTGTTGATATGTAAAGTATGCATTAGTAATAGTTTTATAAGCAGGCATTATTAAGTACATTTTATTGAAAAAATATAGACCGATAGGAAATGTAATAAAATATTGACGCATCAAAATCACCCAACAAGTTTATTTTAACTCCGGTCTTAAAATCAAAACTATCCGCTGTGATAAGCTTATAAAATTTGTTAGATATTTCTAACATATAAGGTGTTTCATGCGCATTGCAAATAATTTGTCAATTTAATTATAAGAGAATGCGAGTCACTATGCGCAGAGCTTAAAATTAACAATTTGAAGAATTATATGTAGAATTTAAGTATATAAGAATATCCAAATAGGGTCATATTTAAAATATAACTTGAATTTGGTTCAGTATCGCTATCAATATCAGTCTCTAAATGATGGTGCATTTTGTTACGGAAGAAATGCATAATTACTTCCTGTAATAAGACATTTTTTAAGTTTAAGCTATCTATTTATATGGTTATTTACTTTTATATATATATATTGTGCTTTTCAATTTTTTATTTTTAAATAAAATAAATATTTTATTTGATTTAGCTTTTTCTTTTTCTTCTAACAATTTTCCATAATATTCTTTAATTAGAACCGTATAATTTGGGAGGTTCACATCTTCACGACTTAATAAATTATTTATAAACTTACTCCTAAAAATGTAATAAGCTGATTTACTTTAAAACAAAAATCAATCAATACGTAAATAGTATTCCCTCATTTGAAATTAGGTCAACTACTGGGAACCCAGGTATTTTAGGTATTCCGGGTACCTGACTACTCAATTATATATATCGAGATATAAAAAAAACACAAACAAGTAAATCTAAAATCTCACATTCAACATTTAACACGAATACATTTGTAATTCTAAACGTAAATAATAAATCGATTATTATTCAAAAGAATATTAAAATATTTCATGGAGATTATATTTAAACGCGTAACGCGATGCATGGAAATGAACAACCCCTTTCTCGTCAACAGTTAATGAATAACATTTTGTACAAATAAAAAGAAAAATGAGAAGGAATTTAGCTATCATTGTAGTCTTCTTTCATCGAGTTCTTTTCTTATAAATCAACGTCAAGAGAAATACAGAGAGAGAGAGAGGGAGAGAAAGAGAGGGCTGAGAGGAGGGGGTTACCTCATTCTTTCCTTCTTTTTTTTCTCCTTCTTTCTTCACAGTGCTTTACGAGAGAAGAACTCTCGTTCGATCGTGGTTGTAAAGTTTCTCAGCTTTACGAGAAAATGATATAAGGATCAAATTTATATGGTGCTAAGTCTTTCCTCTCGTATTTTTTTTTTCCTCTTTCATATTTTTCTTTTCTCTCTCTCTCTCTTTCTCTCTTTCTTTTTATTTTTCTTTTTCTTTTTCCTTCCTTCCTTCCTTCCTAACCCCCCTCTTCCACCCTTGCCTTTTAAATCACTTAATCGAAAGTCTCTCGTTATTCTCTCGCTTTTTCTTTAGATAGAAAGAGAGAAAGTTACCTATATCGCATAAACTTCGATCTCAGGGAAATGGTCGAGGACGATAAAATTCGCAGATTCCTGACGATAAAATTCTAAACGGGTGCTCGTTAACCATCCATCCAAACTTTCGACAAAGATAAATCTTTCGTAGTAGTGTATATATATATATATATATATATATATATATAGTGTAGAGAGGCTATAGTCGAAAAGGATTTATCGAATTTTCACGAGAAAGGTAAAAAAAGAAAAAAAAAAAAAGAAGAAGAAGGAAGGGATTGCTAGTTTTAGTTCGCTTACTCGTTGCTTGTCTTTCTCGTCTTTGAAAAAGGAAATAAAAGAAGAAGAAGAAGAACAAGAAGAACAAGAAGAAGAACAAGAACAAGAAGAACAAGAAGAACAAGAAGAAGAGGAAGGGAGAAACAAAAAGATAAAGTTAATTTTGTGTTCTCCAATGTTTTTTTTCTTCTTTCGATTGCTCCTCCCTTTTTTTCTTTTTTTCGAATTTAAAAGTAAAGTTTATAGGAAACAAACCACTATACTTGTTACGTTGGGTGGAAACAAAATTATATATATTATTCTAATTTATTTATAATATATCAAAAATTTGTTTGTTTTCTTTTTTGGTATCTATTTCATACACACACACACACACACATATATATATATATATATATATATATATGCATATCACAATATATAAATAAAATTTAAATTCCACAACGTGATATAATATATAAATAAAAAAATGTTTGAACAATTAGAGTTTAAAAATACAAATTAGTACTTTGTGTATGTGTGTGTGTGTGTGTGTGTGGGGGGGGCGGTAGTAAACGTTCGTGCCGTCTTTTTCAGTAGTGTTGAATTTTTATCGGTCAACGGATGGTCGACGACGAGTTCACATAGCGTTCACGAAGCGTTACGTTTTATCGTCTGTGAGTCAAACGACTGAAAGGAGTGGCTTGATAGCTTACTTGCTAGCTAGCTAGCTAGCTTGCTTGCTTGCTTGCTTGCTTGCTTGCTTAACTCGAGGTCGGGCTAGGTAATTTTAACAACATTAGTAAGCAGTGTCTCAGTTTAGTCACAGTCGTGACGCGACTCTTGTGCCGGTCAGAACTGTCGATAATAGTCAACTTTTTTCATTCGTTTTTTTTCCTTTGCTTTACGATTCTATAAGGATTCGAATAAAAAAAGAACAAAAGAAAAAAAAAACGAGAAATGGGTCGCTCGACGAAATTAATTAATATAAATTTTGTTAATTAATTCATATATATATATTTATGTATAGATATTTATCACATTGATATTATACTAAAGATAAAATATAATTACAGTTTATAATTAGTTCAGTGAGAGTTAACAACGACAATCAATAGTGCCTCTCTGTATTATATATGTTATATCGTCGAAATGATTCATTCCCGAATAATATATAACTATAATATCGATAATACAAAGTGTACGTTAACGATTTCCATTAATAAAATAAATCAGAAATCGACTGATGTTTTCGTCAAAGTATTACTTGGGATTAGTGAAAGGATAGTAGAATAACATTTAGAAAACGTGCTTGAATTCTCCACGAGGAAAAGGTTTTATCGAGAAAATCGTACGTGGAAACAAGTAAAATACGATTGCAATCGATTGATTAAACGGTAAAACGACTATAGAAATGTATTACTTCAAAGATGGATATTTTTCGAATAGGGAATTCATCGTTGTGTCATCATTGTGTTTTTTTTTTTTTTTCTGTTGCATCATGTTATTAAGTATTGTGTATACGTTATTATTATTCAGGGTGGCGTAAAGGTTAGTTAACGATTTAGAAACTCTTTCATTCTTTTCCTTTTTCTTTTTTTTTTTTTTTTATTGAAATAAAAATACTACAGACATTTCATTTCTTTGATAAAATTGTTTTCTTGCCGAAATAACACGTATAATCGTCAAAAAAAAACAAAGTATGTACAGCTGTTATAAAATTTAATGAAGCTATTATCATCAAGTGGCTGTCGTATTTCTTTCTAAAAATTTGTTTTATTACGAAAATTGACGTATTTACTTAATTTAAACGTATAGCACGAATAATACGAAAGAAAAGAATAAAAAAAGATATAAATTATTTAGAAAAGTGATTATAGTTGGTAAATTAAATTTGTTGTTATTGCATGATACTGAGTAACGTAAGGCCACAAACAATACGTAATTCCACTTTACAAGTTGAACACGAATATCTTCGTTCTTTTCGAATATTATTTTAATTCAAAATGATAATATCTCTTCGTCGAGTGTGACAAGTATGGTTATTAATCGCAGCTCTAATCGGTTAACAAATTTATCATTTTAAATTTCCCTTTTGCTTATATGTAAAGTCGAAAGTTCAATTCGTATAAAATATATTATGTTTCATTTTATTATACGCGTATTTCTTTTTAACGACAATCGTTAGATATCAAATCCGTCCTTACATATTTACCACACAACACTTTATTAAAACACTATATATCTTCATGTAACTAGATACAAAAATCAATCACATTTTTCAGCATTTTAATATTCCTATCGATGAAATTTGAAAGAGGCTTTCACTCATTGTTGTTTTGTCGTCGGTCGCAAAATTTCTTTGGATCACTATTTGTTTTAATTATCTAACGAAAGGCTTAATTAATTAACGTAATCACTCTCTTCTCGTTTTCTCATTCTTTCTCTCTCTCTTTCTCACTCTCTCTCACTTTTATCCGATTACGATATAAATCCCTTCCGACGAAAATTCTCTCATCGAATTTGCTCGATATTAAACGATCAAGCTTTCAAATGGTAATTTCTAATCAGCTACATCGTATTACATACATTTTATCATAATATTTTATTATTATTATTATGATTATTGTTGTTATTATTTATACGTGTAGTTTCAAATAATTTGCTTTTTATATAATAGCTGAGTTTACACGTATATATATATACTTAAATAAAATAAGAGTTATCACTCTCGTACTTTCACATGTCGCTTTCTTTCTTTTTTACATTTTTTATATTTTTTTGTCCTCTCTGTGTGCTTTATCTTTGGGAGGTTATTTTCACACGTAACATATGTAACTACAACACCAGATATCAACCGAGCTTATTTTTTATTATTCATCTCCGACAAATTACTTTACTTTCCTGTTTTAACTTTGGGTAGTATCAAATTTTTCCGTAAATCAATTTTCTGGCTTGATAAAAAGAACAAGATTTTTATCAATATATCCCTCTTGTAAGATTAAGATAATTATTAAAATCGACGATTAAATTTAACGACAATTTTTCCTTTTTTCTTATTACGAACGAAAACAAATTTAATTTCATAGTTAATAAGTTTGGCAATTGTTCTTAACAATTGTAAATAATTTATTTAACATATTAATTCCTCGTTCGGTTTATTTTTAAACATCACTAGACGTAAACTCGAGAAGATAATTTATTGAATTAGACGAATTACGAGATTTATAAATACAGTTGAATAAATTCATATACCAGTTTACGAATAAACGACAAGAAGATTAGATTAGAAAATTCTTATAAAGTGTGTATTTTTTATATATAGTTATCTATATTAAATCCTAATCTAATCTAATGTATATCTATATTTGATGTTATTTAATCTGACCATTTGTGTACATATTTATATAGGATATATTTTATATCAAACTATTACGGTTTATTGATAAATCTATAAATCATCAAGGTTGCATTTCTAATTAGTATTTAAAAAAACAGGAGAAGCAAAGGCAAACAAACAACTATTTCGATGGTGACAGCATCTTAAGAAGAATAATGTGCAAGTTTTCGTTAAAGTATTTAATCGACATTGCAGTTAAGTAATATTTCTATTTTTAATTTGTACTGATAATAGTGATAACGTTGACCTCATTGTTACAAGAAAAAAATGTTGAAAAAATAAGTATAATTGTTTCTACAGGATAGTGAATGTATTAATTGTTCTCTATGGATACTAGAGAAAGTAACACTAATATTCTATCTCGATATATAAATTATTATTTTGAATACCACTGGAGAATATATGATAAACGGAATTTATCATAAAAAAAAAAGAAGGAAAGATAATATTAATTAGTTTCGTGAGAATAGAGAAGAAAATTCGAAGAAATAATTCGATCGCAATATGTCATGGCGTTGTGGAAAAATTAGCCTAATCATACTTATCATTTCGATCGGTTGTCTCTACCTTCTTGCATTTTACTTCGACTTGAATATAAGAAATGTTCTCGACTTCAAAGTCAACCAAAAATTGTTTCCATACCAATTGAACAGTAACAGGACGTTCAAGACGATCTTATTTTGGAATGGAATGTTTGATCATAAAGATTTTTATTTCGGCCATGGTGATATTTTCAAATCTTGTCAAGTGAATGATTGTTACGCAACTTATCATAGATCTTATTTTGATGTCGATACATATGACGCCATACTTTTTCATGGTGTCGAATTAGATAGGCGAGATTTGCCTGATAAAAGAGCTTATAATCAACATTATATTTTTGTTAATTTGGAAAGCCCAGAAAATAGGCCAATCGAAGATGAATATTTCGAGATATATTTTAATAATACGATGACTTATCGATTGGATAGTGATATTCTATGGGCTTATGGAATTGTTCGCGACATTAAAACTGAGAAGATTGTGGCACCTTCTAATCATGTCTTCTGGGATCTTCCTGATAATGATGATAGCAGTGACGCATTGTCTACCACGCCACATTTAAAAGGTTTTTCCAATATTTATATACTATTAAAATATATATATATATATTTATTTACTTATTTGAATGCGTGTGTTTTTAGACGAAATTTACAAAATTCTTAATTTTGATTAAATTAGATAAAAATAATGAGAAGAAAAAGTCGCTTCATTTTTGAATGCACAAATATTGCATTTCGAGATTGCCATAATAAATATTACTTATCTCAACTGTTTGAACATTTTAATAATTTCGTATTACGTCAAAATTATTCTCTTTCACGTGAGTTATAAACGTTCTCTTCAAAGTAATATAAAATATGAAATATCGATTCGATGTGAATATATTAAAAAAAGAAATATCTATAAAATTATCATTCAAATTTGAAATTGAAAATAATTAACGCGTAACATTGTAAATGTTCTCTTGGAATTCATATGAAAGTATAATATAATATATCGATTCTATACAACTTTATGACAGAAAAATAAATGAAATAGAAAACTAAATGAGTTAAATTATTATCGAAATGTAATTAATTCGTCATATTAGTTTGTATTTACACTTTAATAAATTCAATAAATATAAATCATTGAATATTTTCTAATCCTTTTAATTGGAATCGTAGATGTTACAAGAATTGCAAATAAAAATAAGGAAATAGCTTGGTTGGTGAGCAATTGTCGAGCTAAAAGTGGGCGTTGGAACTACGTAAAAGAATTATCAAAGTATATAAACGTTGATATATATGGATATTGTGGTGACGATAATACGTGTCCATTATCACGTGATTGTTTCTACGACATATTCGAACCGCAATATTACTTTTATCTCTCCTTCGAAAATTCATTGTGCCACGATTACGTCACGGAGAAGCTTTATAAAGCATTGAGGTAATGCAAACAAATTATTGAAATTTAGTCTTTCTTATTTCTATAGATAATATTTTTAATTACCCATGACACATAGAATATAGTTTATAAATGAATATACTATAATTTGTTTCTTTTAACATTTATCTGCATTAAAAAATACAAATTACAAATTAGTTTGTTAAGAAACGAAAGATCCTATAATCGAATAAGACTGTTTTTTTTTATTTATTAATTTGATTAATGTTTCATAGCTTTAAATTTAATTATTAATTAATAATGTATCATCATTATTCCTTCGAATTTTTCTCTCTTCTTTCTTATTTCACAGATACAACATAGTACCGATCGTTTACGGAGGAGCAAATTACAGCCGATTCGCACCACCAAATTCCTACATTAATGCATTAGATTACGATAGTCCAGAAAAATTAGCCGAATATTTAAAACGACTTATAAATTATCCAAACGAATATCGACAATATTTTAAATGGAAGACACGTTATCGTATAGAAGATGCAATACCTAAAGCCGCTTGCAATCTTTGCAAATTTCTTCATACCAAAAACAAAACTAATAAGTACGTACAATTATCAGATTGGTATAGCTTTAACAAATGTCCATTACAAAGATTATTAATTAACGATAACTACATCACAAAAGTGCTCTTTAATGCGAAACAAAGTTTAGATAAAATATTATCACCATGACGAATATAAAATTTAATTTATAATATAAAACAAGTATAATGAATAATTATATAATATAGATTACAATTATCTTATATATTAGAAATAATATAATAATGTTATTATAAATTCTTATGATTACGATTAAGATGATATGAAATGTGCAGTATTTTTTGATCTCATCGTTTCTATATTCTATAAAATAATATCTAGCAATTAAAACCTTCTTCTTAATTATTCCTTTTTTGTTTTCTCCTCCTCCTCCTTCATATATTTTTAACGATCGACAAAGATACATTTATTCGTGTAAACAGTGATGGATAAACGGTTTGATGGAAGGTTTGCAGGACAGAATGTGTACACCCATAGGTACCTAGTACATACACTCGTTTTATCAAGCTACTAAATCCTACTATAGTCATCCTGTTTGCACGAATTAAACCGTTATCGAATCTACAGGGACAGAAAGAGAAAGATAGATAGAAAGAGAGAAAGAGAGCGAGAGAGAGAGAGAGAAAGAGAGAGAGCATTCGGAATGCAAATGCAGATGAGGACAAACATTACGATCGAACACGTATTAATCCCTATGCGTTTTCTCGTTGAATGTTACATGGAAACTTCGGCACCTTCCACAGTGAGAGTGAGAGAAAGAGAGAATCCGTTCCGATAAGATAAGCGATCGAGTTACGACGAAGAAGCGTTTAAAACATTGTAACGTGACGCGTTATCTTGCCAAATATGTTCGCATTTTCCACGATTCAGTTCTCCTAATCGTAAATTTAACTTAATTGTTTAAGTTACTTAACTTAATTGAACTTATTGCGAGATACCTTATGGATAAGAAGATTTATTTTAATATACGATTTTCATATTATCTTTATTTTTAGGTTTTTAGGTTCTCTAAACATTTCTGATTACTTCGCGAATCAATTGAATTATACATTTTAAAATTGCGATAATCAAATGTAGAGAAAAATTAATATTATATTGAATAATATAGATATAGTTAAATTTTGTTAATAAAAAACAAAAAAAACAATCGACTTTAAAATAGAAAAGAGAAGAAAAAGGGAAATTGGTTTTATGCAAAGAGAATTAGCATCCGATTGTTGGAAAAACGGGGGATTTAGATAGAAAAAAAAAAAAAACGTGGTAGAGAAAGGATTAGACGTGACGAGATAGCGTTTTTATTTCTTACAATACTAACGTAAACACGATAAGGTTTTGTAACATCTCGTTTAGTTTCGTGTGAACAAAAAGCGATTACTTTGTCGCACAGCTGCGTAACCACAGTTTCGGATCTGTCCAATTCTGTTTCTGTTTCTGTTTCGTGGTAACAACGGCTTCGTTCTCCCACAAATTCTCTTGCCATTTGACAAACCAGAACGTTACTATAGGACGTGAACGCGATGCCCAGGTGTCACGTCTGTATCACGTATTACAAATTTACCGGTAATTATCACGAAATATATACCGTGTACGCGTGTATAGTATATCAGTGTATTCCTGCGTATGTTGTTGTTTTGTGAGAGATGAGAGAGAAAGAGAAAGAGATATGTATATATATATATATATATATATATATATATATGTATAGACAGTGATGGTGTTTGTTAATGAAACAATCGACATTCGAGAGATATTAGATTATTTGAATTTGTCGATTTTGAACATTAGAGATAAACATTTGCAATGACAAATCATTGCATTATAATATATTTTACTTTTTTTTATATATATATAATATGTGTATAGAGGTACACGCTCGCATGCAGTTGTTAAATATTATTATCTATTATTAAAAATATATATATATATAATATTGTGCAGAGAGTAAAAGAAAAAATTAGAATCAACGTGAATGTTATTAAAAGGGGGCTTCGGAAAAGGAAAGAAAGAAAAAGAAAAAAAGTAACAAATTCTATATCATCTTTGTATTATTCAATACTTCCTTTTATGCGTAAGTAGCTTATTGAATTTTTCCTTTGCAGCTTTGTAAATCGATCGATAGGAATAATTTCATATTACTATAGCGTATTCTCGGTATGACTTTGCTCTCTCAAAGAACGAACAGATTATTATTTTTCTATCTTTTTGGAAGACATTATTTTCCAACGGTGCAAATGTTTATATATATATATAGAGTCGTTTTATTTTTTTTTTTCTATCTCCTTTTTTTTCCCTCCCCGCTAGTATTCCTCTTTCTCAGTTTCTCCGTATTACTTTATTTTTCATAAGCTTCTCTCTGTTTTTCACCGGTTTCTCCTGTATTCTATTTTTTTATTCTTTTGTTTAATCTCACTTACTCTCTCTCTCTCTCTCATTTGCTTTCTTTTTCTCATGACAAGCTTGTACCAACTGTTTTTCCGCGTTTCCCCGTTTATTTAAACGACCGAATTATTTGGAATTTTTCTTTGATTTTACGCCACTACGGGAGAAAGAAAAAAAAAAACCTTGTTATTTTATATACACAATTCGTTTTTATTAAACGATATATTTTATTTTCTTCTAAAATTATACATACATACATACATACATACATAAATACAAACGCACGTAAATATATTTTTATAAATGCATTTATTAAAATATAATATTGTATTATAATTGACTTATAATTAACGCGTGGTATTTTAAGTCCCTTATTTTATCGGATAAAAAAAGAAGGAAAGAAAAACAAAATTGCGTGGGCCTTTTCTCTCTCTCTCTCTCTCTCTTTTCCTCTCTTTTGGTTCTCTGATAGACTAGGCAGACAGAAGTTTTCGCTTTTGTAGCGTTATCTTCGCACGCCAGAAATACGCGTATTGAATTTGTAGATTATTTGCATACCGCACTTGGCACACAGCTCGATCGATTCGATACTCGGCCCTACCGGGTCCCACGTGCTAGCTACATCGTCGATTACACTAATTCCTATGCGAATAAACGAGAAATGATTTTCTATTTGACTCGAAATTAACGATAAATATATGTATATTTATTAAACGATAGGTATATACATGTATATGGTATATAATGCAAAATTATTTTAATCATTTAATGATATGTAAGAAAATATTGAATAAAATTTTTTTCTAACCGAAATTAATTAATATCTCAAGAATTTTCTTATCTTGTTATTTTTAATGTGTTCGTAGTTAATTGTTCGATCAATTAATATTAATGTACTTTGATATAATATTAGACAATATTAAACAAATATACTTGATTGTACAATTCTCTTCTAATCTTTGCTTAAAACTTATTAACTTGGAGAAACTGAACACACTATTCGAAAAGTTTAGCATTTGAATTGTAGTAGAATCGTGACACCAAGTTCAGCATGCAAAAGCTTATGGTTGCAAGTGGTAGGAAGATAGGAAAGCTAACTGTAAAGCGTTCGTTCTCTCTCACCAGTTAACCATACTTCCTAGTACGTCTAACAACATTCGTACTTGTGAAAATTGGCAATGCTCGAAGCTTCCTAGAAGATGCAACGTGTCTGCATTCCTACGAAATCGCACGCATTGCAGCAGCAGTATATATACGAGTTGCAACATTTGCAACAGATAGGAGAGACGCTTTAATGACTTATGTTAGACGTTTTCCACTTCCAATGCGTTGACGTTTCTTCAATCGATTCGACATATGTCACGATTTCAAGAAATACCTGATTTTTTATTATTAAAGTGTTATACCATTTTGGTAGACATGATTTTCCATTTCCTTTTTTTTTTTTTTTTTTCCTTATACGAAATAATTATGATCTCGATAAGAGTATAATGTGTCCATTAAAGATTTGTCTATTTTTTTGTTTCGATATATATTAATAATAAAAAAAAAATAATATAAATCTTTGGTAGATTTTCCAATGGATAAAAAATAAAACTGGTTCGTTCTCCTCGGTTTTGATAGAAACGTAATAGTGAAATAATAAATCAAATTTAATCAGGCTAGCGTGTTAACAAACTTTTATATGAGCGATAACAAACAAATCAACAAAAATATTAATGCACGAGGATAAAATAATACGTTTCAAATTCATTTCTTACTTTTTTAATATTCGTATGTTATATTTTTTAATTTGATATTTATTTTGTGTGCTAAATTTCTAAAATATTATACTTATAGACATTTTCTCTAATAGAAAAAAGAAATTGTATTACGTATATATGATAGTATAAGATTGGTAAAGAATAAGAGTAGCATTTTCTACAGACGTGAAATCGATTGACATGTCATTCATTCTATACCAAGGGAAATCTTCCGGAGTATCGAAAAAGATAGTGCCCGTACAATTTTCTCTCGTCTTATGTTTTCTCGTCGTTTAAAAGAAAAGAAAAGAAAAGATAGGAAGAGGGGCGGGGGGTGGGTGAAAAAAAAAAATAAAACACGTTAACGTACTTGGACGTGAGCTTACGGGAATATGAAAATCAATGTAGACCGATCCTCGACGCGTTCCAATTTCATGGGGAACGCTTTTCTATGGGTGCAACCAGACTTTGACGTTGGTAGTTTATTAATACAGACATATACAGGCTTGTTACGATATTCTCTCAAAAACTCTTCCAATAATTTTATTCTAAATTATGTACGTATATACATACATTAATTGCACAATATGTATATATGCACACACACAGGGTGAGTCACAAACAATTATTATCTAAAATAACTCGCAAGGATTATTGATCGCGTATGGGGGGGGGGGGAAAAAAGAAAAATACTTTTATAAATTATAACAAAATAATTGAATGATAAATGTATTTTCTTTTTTTCTTTTTTACTATCAAATTTTTGAATATAATCATTTGTATTGACGTATCATGATAAATCTTTTACTTTTTTTTATTATTACAATCCATCAAAACTAAATATTTTTATGAAAGTAGCGTAAACAAAATATCAAAGTTGAAAGAGGATAACAAATTGCATATTCGGGTGAAATATAAAAAACGAATGTTTTACCTCTCTTTCTATTTTTCAAAAGTAGGTATACGAAGTGATATAGAAAAATTTAAAAAAAGAAAAAAAAAAAAGAGAGAGAGAGAGAGAGAAAAAAAAGAAAGAAGAGGAAAGAAAAAGAAA